TAAATAATAGTCCATGAAAATTGAAAAGACAAGTCGTTTAAGGTCATCCAAACCTAACTGAACAGCTCCATAAAGCATGACAGTGCTTTAAGCTTCAGGAACTCAAACAGCTCTCTGCAGAAAGGTAGAACTCACATACAAAAGAATAACGAACATGCTGCATAATGCATGAAAGTGTGTTTCTGCAGATTATATAGCATCGACAGGGTAGAAATGGAAGATGTATCCACACTTAATTCACTATTTTTTAATATCTTGGCAGCAAAATGAGGGCTTGAATTGGATACAGAAATAAAAAAGGAGTGAAGTTCAAATCAAAATATATTCTTTTAAACCATACAGAGATTAATCAAATAACAGCATTCGTGTCATAGTTTGTAATTTTGTGGTGCAATGGTTAATCAGGCCTTGGCACCCTTGTCCTCTGTTAATTTGACACAAGAAAATCTGACTGCATTCCTTCCTTTTTGTGCCACCCAGACATCTGGAAAGAGCCTTTATTCCCTGGGAAAAATGGTAGGCAGTGCCAATTCTTATACCCATGGTCTCAGTGTCTGTCTCAGGCTGCACGTTTCTGTCCTTCTGGGCACTCCTATTCCGCAGCTGTTAAATCCAGCAATGAATGGCTGCCTAGCGAAGGCAGATGGTTTCCTCCCTCTGTGCCCTTCCCTCAGCACGTACACGGACACACATGCAGGCTCACTTCCACAGATGACAGTTCTGTCATTCCAGAAACTGGCAGGTGGAGATGCCCGGGCCTCAATGCATCTTAGCCTCTGTATTCAAACTACTGATCAAGCACGGCATCCATGCCCAGGCGTGGCTGAAATATGACAGTGCTCGGTCATACCTACACTACTTAACTATTTGCATTTAATTTGCAACTAAATTATCATTTATCTACAGTAGTTGTGTGTGTGTGTGTGTGTGTGTGTGTGTGTATGTGAAAATATCAACTGATATTTTGCTGTAGACATGCTGATTTTCCTTTCAGTATTAACCTTAGGGCTGCAACAACTAATCGAAATAATCGATTATAATCGATTATTGAAAAAGTTGTCAACTTTTTCAATAATCGATTAATCGGCTTCCGATTGGTTGGCCCTGTTCACGGCTCCACACACGCTGCACGCCACACCTCCTCCCCACCTCACGCTCGCCTTTCTTGAAGACGTTTCACTGGCCATCCAACCAGCTTCAGTGCTCAGCCAAATCCACGATCGGCACAGGTGCGCGGGGAGAAGAAGTAAAATGAGCCTGGAAGAATATGTTACCTGTGCTAACTCTGCTGCTGTGTCCCTGTACCAATTTTCTTTTAAACATGTCACTCAAGTAGCTTTATCTAGGCAGTTAAAATATAATAAGAGTGTGAATGGTCTGTCTTGGTTTGTAATAGAAGGTTAACGGTTTCAGACCAAACAATAGGTAGACTAAGGGGTCTATTCACGAAGCTGCCGAGGGCAGCCGAGTGAATGACCGATCTGAAGTGAAGTGAGCCGAACACTGTTCGGCTATTCACTTCAGGCTGGTACGGCTAATTTCAGCCGTACATCGGCTGAAATCAGCCGTACATCGGCTTGCTTCGTGTCGGCCAAACATGCTCAGCATGTTCGGCCGACCCGAAGTGCAGAAGGAGTTCGACTCAGCCGATCCAACATCTGGATCGGCTGAGCCGAACCTCCAGCAGGCTACTCACTGCTGTTCGGGCTATTCTTAAAGATCCCGAGCTGAGCGGCATTCGGCTCGGCTGTTCTGCTCGGTCCCTCAGAGGTACCGAGCAGAACAGAAAAA